GACATTAGCAACACATTATTAGCCATTTGATAACGTAGTTAAGCCAAATGCTAATCATATTAATTACTGTTATGTGTCTGATGTAGAGAGCAATACATACAGTAAAATGCATTACCATTCTGACACATTGACTCGAAGACAAACCTATTAGCTCTTCCTCTGAATCAGTTTCTGGTTCAAACGTCTATGAATTGAACCAGTATTTCCACTTGCCATTGTGTAATATTTAATGTAAAGTTGACTGAGTGGATCAGGTATTCTGAGCTTGTGTGATTGAGTGGAGGCGAGGTTGAGTGTTCTAGCTATTTTAATGCCTGAAGAAATCATTTTCACAGATCAAACATGAGTTTTAAGGCAAACAATTATAGACGACAAGGGTACTTTAAGAGAAATCTCTGTTTTGCTGAACTGTTTTGGAAAAAAAACTCTCCTGTTTGCTTTGTGAAATAATAAAAATGGAATCCTGGAGATTTTTAAATGGAGGCCCAAGAGAGGTGAAGATCAGGGACAGGGATCATGAGAGGTTACAAGCTCATCCATCTCTCTCTTTGTAGAATCCCAGTGCCCTCTGTGTGGTTGCCAAGGTATCTCCACGGCTGTGGGTCCTGGCAATGTGGGACTGGAACTCTGCCATTTAACGGAATTAAAAGGGGATTTAGGGAGATGCGTGTGTGTGTTTGGGTGGATTGGTGGCCAGCAGAACTGTGAGGTATGGAGGCGGGGCTTTGCGGTTGCCACACAGTGCACCAGAGTGTTACGTAACATGTTTACTAACACACTAGCCAGGAGGCGATTACTTCCCATAATTCATCCTGACCTGGTCTGATTGATAGCAGCTTTCAATTGGTTCCCGGGCATCTGATTGTTGCTAAGTTAATGAAACGGTCCTATCCGCCCAGCTCCAGAGGACACAGCCTTTTCAGAGCTGTTGATCTTGTGCATGTTATTAGGAGCTGTATTGGGCTGAGCTTATTTGGATAATCAGAAAGGCCCTCTACTCTCTCTCCCGCTCTCGCTCTCTCATTAGTTCACTCTCTCTCTTTGTCCCTCTCTTCGTAATTGTTGGCTGTGTTGTGCTGTTCTCTGCAGTGCATTATATAAATGCATAAACCCTCTGGTGCAATGGTTGCACAGTGCCAGCTAGTGTATGACAGTAGGTCGGGGCATCGACCGGCACGTTGCTTGGGGGGCTGGACTGCGCTGTTGTCATGGCAGCCTGTGACTCACAATTGTACCCCGTGCTACTCAGATCACATAACTCCAAGTGTGAATAACTCCGCATTGCCACCACCTGAGAATGAGTGTTCACACCTGTTTTATGGAAATCAAGACACATCAAGAATTAAAATGAACAGTTAATTGATTAGCATTAAAGGGGTGATGAACTGAGAAATCATATTTTCCTTGAGCTTTTGACATCTAAGAGGTCATCATATTATAAGAATATCCTGTAAGTTTCAGATCTGAAAACAACCTTGTTAGTCCAATTAAAGCTTTTATTGACACCAGGATCAGCAAACGACTCGTTTTTTAAAGTGGGGAACTATGACGTCAAAGAGGATAAAACACCACCCCCGCAGAAGAAGATCAAAGCCTACTTCAACACGGCCGGTTTAGCCCCGCCCACCAATTCGCGCATTACACGCATAGCTAAATAACATAGATGCATAACTCGTGATGACAAACCGGAGAGCTACCGAGCAAAACAAAATTTTGTGCAGTGCCTGGTTGTGGAAGAAGACAGTCGCTGCATACGCATGGATAAATTTTATTTTTAATGATGTTCCAGCTGATGAGGGTAAAACATTGTCCTGTTTTCAAAACATTTTCCCCTATGTGTACCGACTGGTGAGTCGAAACTCATTATAATGCAAAACTGTTATCCACTCAGAGCAGTGGGCATTTACTTCCAAGTCTTCAGTGCGAGACGCCCATAAAAACCTAGTGTTTTTGAGTTCAAAATAAAATGTGATGAATATAGTGAATTCGAAAATAGTGTGATGAATATTTATTCGTTTTAATGTTTTTTGAATGCAAAATCCAAGCGAACGTCATAAGTTGACCTCAGACAACAATATAATACAATTTAAAAAGCCAGTTCATGACCCCTTTAATACAATAAGATGCAAGATAGCCAACTTTATATTTATAAGTCATATCTATATTTTCAACACACATTATTATTTTAGAGTAATGCACTAATGGCAAAATTAAACTTGCTAAATAGCTTCAATCTTAAATAATGAGTCCATACCTGATAAATCCTTCTTCCAAAACGTTTTTTTTTGTCTTACCCTGATTCATATGGTATGCCTATTTGTGTAAGCTCCAGCTAAGTGTGGCTCCAGCTACTTTGACGTGTGTGGGAGTGGTTAGTTGTTACAACAAATGAGAAAAGTTGTCATGGTGCCACTACTACTGCAGTATCAATAATTATCTATTGTGAAGAGTCATTTCATTACCATTGTATAAATAAATAGTTTAAATAATGAAAAAAAAAGCATCATGCACATGGTATTTGGAGTTCGCCACATATTTTTTTAAAGGTTCACGGTGTAATTTTTGGCCCTCTAGTGCATGCATTTTCAAACTGTATGCATTTTGCAAAAGAACAATTTTTTTGGTTGTACTTCGGCTCTACATGATGAGTATGATGAATATGGTTATCCTACTGCTCATAAAACATTTACTTCTAGGCTTAAAAAATACATAACTGGTTTAGATGGAATGGATCTCAAACTTACTAGCTGAAGATGTTACTGTAGCTAAACCCATTAATAGACATGGTAGGCTACTTCCTTGAAAATAAATTCCAGAACAACAGCTCTACATACAGACAGCTCTCTATTAATGAAATGACTCTTCACAATGGATGATGCGTTACATAGTAGAACCATGACAACTTCTCTCATTTGTTGTGACAACTAACCAATCCCACACACGTCAAAGTAGCTGGAGCTACACTTAAAATAGGCTTACCATATGAATCAGGGTACAAAAAAAGAAGAAAAAAAAGAAAAACCTTTTGGAAGAAGGATTGATCAAGATTGACTCATTATTTAAATGTTGTTTTCTATTTTAATTGATTTAAGCTATTTAGCGTGTTTAATTTGCCATTAATGCATTACTCTAAAATAATAATGTGAGTTGAAAATATAGATACGACTCTTTTTTTCATTACTTTTTGGATCATTAAATATGTGCCAATATAATTATAAAAATTAACTTTAAATAACTTGAATATTGATATTTTCCTCTTTTTAAATGTATTACAGTACAGCTGTAAAAAATTATGAGGAATTCATCAATATGGAAGTTATTTAAATTAATTTGTTTCTAAATATTATTTGAAATACTTTAAGATATTAAATATATGACCAAAAAGTAATGTCCAATATTTTACTGTAAACTGATATTTTACTGAAGAGTAATATCTATATTGTCTATATACATTATTACTGCAATAATTGAAATATATTAACAGAAAATTAAACTAATTAAATTTATGCTAAAGAACATGTATTGCAATACAGTAAAAATAAGAGCGCTAAAAAAACCGTAGTTAATGTCTTGCTAAACATAAAAGAGCACTTTATCAATCACTAAATATTTTGATATATTACTTTGATTACATAAAGGACACCGTTGAAATACTCTGAGCAAGAACATTATGGTCAGGTGGGATAATGCAGGGAGACAGATTTACCTGCTGTTCGACCCCCAATAAATAGCTTGACAGCCACGTTTTCTGTCCTGTGTTGACATTATTTCCTTGTGTTGTGTGTGTTTGCAGCAAACTATCACTGATTTGATATTGTTGAGCCTAATTTATTTTATGACCTGTAATTGAATCAATCAGTAGGTGATCATGAACATCCCTGACCTTGATTAAACAGAACGGGAACCTCACGTACAGTAACACCTGCCTCAGGTCTGTCACACACTGTCCTTCCACATCAGAACATCCCTCTCCATGCCTCCGCCTCAGGAGAACAGGACAAACTGCAGGGCTGGACAGAGTGTGTATTGTGGGTGTGTATTTATGTACTAGTGGGAATAGGACATGCCACCAACCTAGCAGGAGAGCTCTGTGATGCAAACTGTGTCTCTGCAGTGCTGCTGCCTTTCCTCTACCATTTCCCTCCCTCTTTATCTTCCTCTCTCACTTGCTTTCTGCTGGTTGGAAAGGAGAGGGGATGAGGGTATGCAACATATGATGGTCCAAATTTGTGAGAGTGGTTGATATATTTGCATGGCAATCGGTGTGCAGGACTGCGTGTACTGTACTGTACATATCATATGAGAGGGGTAAACAATATCATATGAGAGCTTTACTGTGTGTACTGTACATATCATATGAGAGGGGTAAAAAGACATAAAGTGATGTAAAAATAGGTAGTTGACATATAACCTCTCCGTAAAAGATTTTAGGCTCAAATTCTCACTAAAATATAAAGAAAATTACAATTATAATAATTTTAGAATTATGCACTTGTTTTTACTGTATTTTTGATCAACTAAATGCACCCTTGGTCTACATAAGAGACTTCTTTCAAAAACATTTAGAAATAAATGTGTATTTGTATCTGATTATAGACAATTCTTTTATTTTATAATCTTATATTTTGGACTGCATCCATCAAGTCACAAAAATAGAAGAAAATATTCAAATTGGAATAAATATTTTACAAATAAAAATGTTATTTTCTTGAATTATCCAAAATATTGTCAATCAATGGAGAGATAGATATAAACAGAGGGGGGTACATATCCAAAAAGTAATGTATCGTATTAATGTTCTTTTGTATAAAGTGTCAGGAAAGTAGAACCATTTTAAAAAATCTGTTAAAGTTTAAAAAATTTTCAAATTGGTTTTCAAATAGGTTTCCGACTCCTACTCCCCCTTCTTTTCTATGCAGATTAAAATCAGAAAGAGTTTTTCTTATATATTTTAATAAAAGGAACGTTTTTGAGTGTGAATTATTATTTCTGTTTTTCAGACCAGCTGGGCTATGAGAGAACACATTGCAGAGGCTCAGAAGTGACAGAAAGTGGACACAGCTTCGTGAGGACAGTGTCTCGGACCACAGACATAGACACAAACACTTACCCTAACAAACACTGCAACAGTCACACAGCTGGTTTTAACCAGGCCAGTATTTGCGTTTGACCCCACTTTACCATCTCAGGTGCAGGAAGGCATTTAGACAGACAGACATTAGTGAGATTCATCCCACCCCCCCATCACTATTATATTCACACCTGTTGGCAGATTCCTTCATTATAAAATTTGTTTTGTACTCGCTGACCAAACACCCATCTCTGACCCACATATTCCTCTCTCATGGGAGTAACATAGAAAACAGCCCAGCAAAGGCACTCTCTGCTCACTTTCTCTCACTCACTCACACACACACACACACAGACTCATCTGCACCGTATTCAGGATGCCCTCCTCCTCCAGCGTGATTAGCTGGGGAAGGATGTGGCTCTTGTGGTGATTGGAGGGGGGAGTGAAGCGGAGCTGGACCCATGTCGTGGAAGCGGAACTACTTTGCGTCAGGCAGCAGTGGGCTGCAGGGGATGTTTACCCCACGCACCATGACCTCCATCGCACCCAGCAAAGGCCTGAGCAATGAGCCGGGTCAGAACAGCTGCTTCCTAAACAGTGCGCTACAGGTAGGATGGAAATTTGCCTTATGACTGTTGCATTAATTGGTTATACTTCAAAGATGCTGTTCACACAGGGTCCACATTTTACATGCCAAGTGACAAATGCAAGTAAAAAATTGTCTTTGAAGAAACTGTTGGCTTGTGGTTTTCTATTAGGAAAACCTGGTAATATCAGTGATTTCCTGGTCTTAAAAAAGTTATGGAAACAAATATATAAACATGGAAAAAGCATACACATTTCTATTGTGAATATACATGTCAAAATCAAAATGTCAAAAATATATATTTTATTGGCTATATTGACATCTGTAAATATTTATTGAAAATGTGTCATTTAAAAAAAAATATTGCTGTACAATCAGCAATATTGTGAAATAATATTACAACTCAAAATAAAATATTATTTATATATTTTAGATAAATTGATGAATCATTTTATATTTCAATATATTTGCAAAATGTAATTTATTCCTGTGATTGGAAAGCTAAACTTTCAGCATCATTACTCCAGTCTTCAGAAATCATTCTAATATGCTGATTTGGTGCTTAATGTGTTATTATCAATGTTGAAAGCTGTTTCATATTTTTGTTGGAACCGTGATATATTGTTGTCAGGATTCTGTGAATAGAAAGTTCAGAATAGCAAAATTTGTATATTGTTGTTTGTATACGACGATGCATGTGACATAAAGGCGTTTGTTCTGTTTGTCTCAAAATTCAACGAAAACTGTACCTTAGTCAAAAGGACACTAAATACACTACATATTCCAATTTCTCAATTAACTCACCTTATGGCGGTTATTATGGAAAAAATAGTTAGCAAAAAGTTTCTTCTGGGGCTTGTGTGAACAGCGCTGAACAAAACGTGATTGCTCAATGCAGTATTTAGTGTGCTGGGAGTTCATTCAGAGTATTCTGGATTTTTCTCTTGTTTTTCTCTCTCCCATTTTATCCTTTTAATGCTACTGTATCTGATGTCACTGTTATGCCAGTTCATGCCGGTCCCAGTTTAGCAGAGCTTTATCTGGGTCTTCCTTGTAGGCTGTCCTCACTTACACCAATATGTCTGGCCAAACAGTCTGTCTGCTCATAAATTAAACATCCCTCTATGTTACCTACACTAACATAGCCTTGAAAAATGTCTCTGAAAGCCTTTTGGATATAGAGACGCACCGATTGATGGGCTGGTGACTGGAATCGGCTGATTTTCACGTGATCGGCCATGACCTGCGACCGGGTTTTGGGTTTCTACAGCCTTACAGTTTTTGGGTTCTACCAAGGATATATTCGTGTGCAATACAGTTGGGAGTCTGCACAGGGTGTTTATTTTGAAATTGATAGTGTTTTTTTTTTTACTTTTATTTTGTATTTACGGTGCGGCTTGGACGCGGCATCTGTTGAAAATAGATTTGGCGGTGGCGCCTATCTTTAGCGAAGCGGCGCGGAGAGTCACTTCTGGGACGCTTCTGAAATACGCAGCGTCGCGGCTGGTGTATACACAAGCATTGACTAGAGAGCCCGAAATGCACACAATTTGCATGTCTAGTGTGTTTTAACAAGAACTGGAGTAGGCTATGTCAGGAAAGAAAATGAAGACTAGAAGATTTAGAAAATTTACCCATTTAAACTTGTTTTCATTATTCAGTTTCCCAATCATTTCCCTGCACTTGCTGGCTGGACATGTGGCAGGTGAGAGAAGAAACTACTATCTGGTGACAAAGCAGAAATGCTTCTGTTTGCAAAGAAAAACTTGCCATTGATGTACAGTTGATTGCAATAGACCTGCCTGTGTGTTTTGTGAAATAGGCTTTATTTATTTTATTTGTTATTTATATATTATTTTATTGCCATTACCTGTTTTCATACAGAAGCTTAATTTGCTAAATCATTTTAGCACATTTTTTTTTTAGTTGGATATCGGATGGGAAAAGAAAGAAATGGTTCTTCCATAACACTGCACTTTAGATTTCGAATTTCGCGGAATCTAAATTTCCCTGCTAAAATCGGTTTTGGGCAGGTCAAACTCAGTGAAAAATTGGAAATCGGAATCGGCCTAGAAAATTGTAATCGGTGCATCTCCATACATTTATAATAGTTTTATAATAGACTAGTCAGTAGACCTTTTTGTTTTTGTTACAAAGTACGTAGAAGTCGGTAATTTTTATCATAGTACTCTTCAACTGTGAGTGATGGAATCTAAAACAAAAATCCAGAAAATCACATTGTATGATTTTTAAGTAATTAATAAATGCATTATATTGACATAGGGTAAGTATTTGATCATTTACCAACCAGTAAGAATTAGGGCTCACAGAACTGTTAGTCCTGTTCATTACCTGTATTAACTGCACCAGTTTGAACCCGTTACCTGTATAAAAGGCACCAGTCTACAAACTCAATCAAACACACTCCAATCTCTCCACAATGGCCAAGACCAGAGAGCTGCGTAAGGACATCAGGGATAAAATTGTAGAACTGCACAAAGCTGGGATGGGCTACAGGACAGTAGGCCAGCAGCTTGGTTAGAAGGCAACAACAGTTGGCGCAATCATTCGAAAATGGTAGAAGTTCAAGATGACGGTCAATGACCCGAAGAGAGCTGGGACCACCGTCTCAAAGAAAACCATTAGTAACACACTACGCCGTCATGGATTAAAATCCTGCCTTGCACGCAAGGTCCCCCTGCTCAAGCCAGTGCATATCTAGGCCCATCTGAAGTTTTCCAATGACCATCTGAATGATCCAGAGGAGGAATGGGAGAAGGTCATGTGGTCTGATGAGACAAATATAGAGCTTTTTAGTCTAAACTCCACTCGCCGTGTTTGGAGGAAGAAGAAGGATGAGTACAACCCCAAGTACACCATCCCAACTGGGAAGCTTGGGGGTGGAAACATAATTTTTGGGGATGCTTTTCTGCAAAGTGGACAGGACTATTGCACCGTATTGAGGGAACGATGGATGGGGCCATATATAGAGATCTTGGCCAACAACCTCCTTCCATCAGTAAGAGCACTGAAGATGGGTCGTGGCCTGGGTCTTCCAGCATGACAATGACCCGAAACACACAGCCAGGGAAACTAATGAGTGGCTTCGTAAGAAGCCTCTCAAGGTCCTGGAGTGGCCTAGCCAGTCTCCAGACCTGAACCCTATATGCTATCTTTGGAGGGAAATGTAGTTCCGCCATTTTGAAAAAATATATTAGCAAAGAGGTACAAAAAGTACTAGGCCAAGACATTTCCACAACGCTTTTTCGTTCAGAGCCAGTGTGACGTAACTGAAAGCAGCAGAAACGGAGGGGCAGAGCGGTGAGAGGCGCTTATCACTGGATCTTGTGAGCGAGACGATCAGAGTAAACGCTCTAGTGAGCTTGCACTGAACTGCCGTTTGGACCGTTTGAGCCGAGCGGATAAATGGTCCGTGTGGCGCGCGGTTCAAATGAGTTTCGTTCCACTTTTTTCCCCGAATAAATATTATCGAACATTTATCGAACTCTTGATATCGTTTTATCGAGTAAAAATTATTTAGCGATAATTATCGTTATCATTTTATCGCCCAGCCCTATTGCAAATCCTCGTCGCCAGAAAAGTCCAAAATAGATCTAAAAAGGAAACGTGACCGGAGATTACAAAACACACGAGTTAATGTCGGAATAGCTTTTTCCAGGTGGATAGAGCTTATGAGAAAGATTTCAAAAGAGATGCTGAAGTCCTGCTTTCTTCTCGACACGTAAGTCAATGCTACAGTCTTAATTACAAGCATTTTTTTTCATTGTTTGGTTGTGTACTTTATTTTATAGACAGATGAACATTTATAGTTAAAAGTTGATGATGATATCTAACTAGGCACGTACTTCAGAAACTATAATGAATAAAGAATGCATAAGTACTTATTACAATTATAGTTCAAGTTTTTCACAATCAGTGAAAATTTATTCTGTAACATTCGTTTGTTCGTTGTGTCAAGTTGCAGTTTGACAAATAACAAACCTGTTCACCTGAAGGAACACTCGACGAACTCCTATTAGAAGACATCCTGTCATAGCTTTTTGGGACATAATGGCTATCGTAGATGCAACGCGCATTTGAAAAAGCAAGGCTTTGAAAGCAAAATACATTTTCACCTCTAGATGGGAGAAATTCCTACACATTGTCCCTTTAATATTGTAGTAATGTACCAAATGAGAGGGTTCCCTGTATAGTTAGTATTAGTTTGGAGAGTTTGTTCCTTAATAAAATGTAAGCCTGTCTTAAATATTTACAAATGAATCAATATTTAATCAATTGTTTACTGTATACTGTGGTATTTTCTGACACAATTATCAGCTTGCTTAAGCATTCAACGGCATAAGAAAATTAGATAGATAAATAGAAAGATGGATAGATCAGACCATTCCAGAATCATCCCTCTCTTGTGCTCTGCATGCCCAAAAAGTGGAAGTGAGAACTTGGGGTGAGGAAAAAGTTATCCTCCCTACTTTAGAGGAATCCTTGATAATCACTTTATAGCCGCTTTAAGTAACAGTACTGGACAGGGATGAGTTAGCAGAAGTACGCTCCAGGGTTTTTTCATGTTTCTTTTTTGTTCAGTCGCAACATACTTAAAAGAGCTAAATCAAATCACGGATCCAATGAAGGCAAACTAACTTCTTATCAGCCGTTAGACAGGAATTCTGTTAGCGACTCCCCTCTAGATTAGCTCATCGTGTGTGAGAGACTGTAGCACCGCAGCTGATTCTCTAAAGGATTTAGCATTTTGCGTCCTGAGTGCGCTGTTGTAAATGGGGCGCTTCTTTCAACCCTCTAGGGCGCTTCATTCAAAAGCCAAGTCCAGCACTACAGATCTGTCTGAGCTTTTCCAAAATGGGCTCAGCAATGATGTGCTCATTTTCAGCTGGATCAGGCCAGCCAGGTGCGTGGGAGCGAAAGGTCCGGGCTTCATCTCGCCATAGAGACTTATTAATAGGTAATGAAAAATAAAAATGGGCTATTATACTAATCCTGTGATCG